AGTTGTCCTCATTTGTCAATTGATGTCTCTGGTTCCCTGTTTACAATCTTGTAGGCTTATTTACTTTGGATATTTCCATAGCTGGGTTGGTTTTTGGGTTATATTATTTTAAGGCCACAGTAAGGAGAAGAGGACGCACAAAAGTGAGGTTAAAGAGAAGTTTTTATTCTGAGTTTCCAGGTGAGGTTTACGGGTCCCCGAGAGGGGGCCTGGGCGAGGTTCACGGGTCCCTGAGAGGGGCCCGGGAAGTCGCACCGTCTGGCTGCGGAGGGGAGGGTTTATAGTCTTGTGGAGGACCTAAGTGGAGACACTAAAGAGATGGTGGGGTCCAATTAGTTGTTAGCATGGGTCTGTACTTAATTAGCATGAGGGGGCTTCACAAGAGGAAGTTTGCCACTGAGTGGGACTTTCCAGTCTGGGCGGGTTCTATCACTTTGGTTGTCTTATCAGGCTGTCTCATCAGGGCTTGATACCCGGAGGAAGTTGCTAACTGAAATGTTGGTGGCTTGGGTTTGCTTCGGCCTAACAATCATCATGTGTGTTAATGATCAGTTGTTGTTGGCTATTGTTGCTTCTCTGTCCAAAGGACTCCCTTTAGCATCTCTTGTTGGCCTGGTTTTAACAAATTCCCTTAATTTCTGCTTATTTGGAAATGTCCTAATTTCACCATCGTATCTGAGGGACAATTTTGTTGAGGACATAATTCTTGGTTGGAAATTTTTCTCTTCATTGTCTTCTTGCCTGTATGATTTCTGTCAAGATTGCCCCTTGTAGGTAACTTTGTTTTTTTCGTGCTGCTGTTATGATTCTTTGTATGTGGTTTTGGTAAGTTTGATGATGATATGTCTGGGTGATTTTCTTTTGGGGTCTATCCTGTTTGGGGTTCATTGGACTTCCTGAATGGATATATTTTCATTATATCAGGAAAATTCTCTTCCAACAAATCTTCAACAACTTTCTCTGTGGTTTTATTTGTCTCTTCCTTTTCTGGAATTCCAATTACACGTAGGTTATTCCTTTTGATGGTATCCCACATGAATCTTAGGCTTTCTTCATTTTGTTTTGATCTTTTTTCTGATGTATCCCTTTCCAAAGAAGTATTCAGTTATTTACCTTCAATCTCCCTAATTCTGTCTTCCATTGATTCAATTCTGCTCCTTTGCCCATTCAATGTCTTATCTATTTCTGAAACTTTAGTATTAATCTTCTGGATTTCTGTGTGTAGATTTTTATCATTTCTAATTTTTCATTTATTTTGTCATTTTGTTCTTGTATTGTCTTTTGAAATTG